TGTGTGGGCCGTGGGCTCCTGTGCGGGGCTGTGGACCAGGCAGGGGCGAGGGGCTGTGGGCTCCTGTGTGGGCCGTGGGCTCCTGTGCGGGGCTGTGGACCAGGCAGGGGCGAGGGGCTGTGGGCTCCTGTGTGGGCCGTGGGCTCCTGTGCGGGGCTGTGGACCAGGCAGGGGCGAGGGGCTGTGGGCTCCTGTGTGGGCCGTGGGCTCCTGTGCGGGGCTGTGGACCAGGCAGGGGCGAGGGGCTGTGGGCTCCTGTGTGGGCCGTGGGCTCCTGTGCGGGGCTGTGGACCAGGCAGGGGCGAGGGGCTGTGGGCTCCTGTGTGGGCCGTGGGCTCCTGTGCGGGGCTGTGGACCAGGCAGGGGCGAGGGGCTGTGGGCTCCTGTGTGGGCCGTGGGCTCCTGTGCGGGGCTGTGGACCAGGCAGGGGCGAGGGGCTGTGGGCTCCTGTGTGGGCCGTGGGCTCCTGTGCGGGGCTGTGGACCAGGCAGGGGCGAGGGGCTGTGGGCTCCTGTGTGGGCCGTGGGCTCCTGTGCGGGGCTGTGGACCAGGCAGGGGCGAGGGGCTGTGGGCTCCTGTGTGGGCCGTGGGCTCCTGTGCGGGGCTGTGGACCAGGCAGGGGCGAGGGGCTGTGGGCTCCTGTGTGGGCCGTGGGCTCCTGTGCGGGGCTGTGGACCAGGCAGGGGCGAGGGGCTGTGGGCTCCTGTGTGGGCCGTGGGCTCCTGTGCGGGGCTGTGGACCAGGCAGGGGCGAGGGGCTGTGGGCTCCTGTGTGGGCCGTGGGCTCCTGTGCGGGGCTGTGGACCAGGCAGGGGCGAGGGGCTGTGGGCTCCTGTGTGGGCCGTGGGCTCCTGTGCGGGGCTGTGGACCAGGCAGGGGCGAGGGGCTGTGGGCTCCTGTGTGGGCCGTGGGCTCCTGTGCGGGGCTGTGGACCAGGCAGGGGCGAGGGGCTGTGGGCTCCTGTGTGGGCCGTGGGCTCCTGTGCGGGGCTGTGGACCAGGCAGGGGCGAGGGGCTGTGGGCTCCTGTGTGGGCCGTGGGCTCCTGTGCGGGGCTGTGGACCAGGCAGGGGCGAGGGGCTGTGGGCTCCTGTGTGGGCCGTGGGCTCCTGTGCGGGGCTGTGGACCAGGCAGGGGCGAGGGGCTGTGGGCTCCTGTGTGGGCCGTGGGCTCCTGTGCGGGGCTGTGGACCAGGCAGGGGCGAGGGGCTGTGGGCTCCTGTGTGGGCCGTGGGCTCCTGTGCGGGGCTGTGGACCAGGCAGGGGCGAGGGGCTGTGGGCTCCTGTGTGGGCCGTGGGCTCCTGTGCGGGGCTGTGGACCAGGCAGGGGCGAGGGGCTGTGGGCTCCTGTGTGGGCTGTGGGCTCCTGTGCGGGGCTGTGGACCAGGCAGGGGCGAGGGGCTGTGGGCTCCTGTGGGGGCTG